CATGTGGTTTCACAGGAAAAACAAGCTGCCGAGCAGAGCCAAGCTTTACATGTGAGTGTTGTCGTGTTTACGTGCTGCAGTGGGTTTGTGTGCTGTGTGTCGTAGTGGAGCTTGTAGCTGTGTTTTACTGACACATTTCTCTCACACTGAATTTATTGAGGTTTCATATAGAAAACATGTTCAGCGCTCCACCTGAATGAGACAGCCGCGCCAGCAACAGTAGTTCTCATTTATTGCCACTGCGGGGAAATATTTTAATGTATGACTGTTCTTTAAAAAGGTTGGTAATACCGGTGTGTTGTGGGTTGTAGTAGTATGCATTCAAGTCTGGAGTAACAGCTTAGGGATTTGTAGTCTCAGGTCGTCTATAAACAGAACCTCAGTTTTTGACGATCTGATTGCCTAATAACGTAGAAAACGAGCGCATTAATTAATCAATAGATAGCCAGATGTGTTCCTGTGAGGTTCTTTCGTGTTTTGTGTGGTCCTGTTTTGGTGGTGTGTTTGGGTTGGTTGGGTGCTGAGGGTAAGACGGTGGGTGGGGAGGGTTGGAGTGTGGAGGGTGATAAGCTGGAAGCTAAGGCTTATGAGTAACATAAGCCTTAGTAACATACATAGTAAAGAAATGACTCAATTTCAGATACTTCTTTAGTCATTATGTAATGACTTGCATCCCCTTTCCATGCCGGATTGACAGATTTTAGGGATCATAGATTACTCCAAGAAAAGACGTCACAATAGAGGCAAAAATACCAAGTATGCACTGTGGACCATTTCTCATTGCAGACACAAAGGATTATCATGTGGAGCAGGGGATTGAGTTTGGTGTAGTGTCTGAGGTGTGGACGGAAACCGATTCGTGGAAGTAGTTGGTTTTTGTGGTCCATGGCGTGCGCCATAAACGCAGAGACGGTTGTTTTCAGTGAAATTAAGGATTTAAATTATTTATTTTTTACATGAAATTGGCGCTGGGAGGTGGTTGTCTGGTCGTCATAATTTATCCGTCTAGAATACATTTTGCTCTTTTATGAAAAACAAGTTTTCAATGGG